TGAGGACGCTTGTCTTGAAAAACTCAACAATGACACATTCTCTACATAGTTTTAAGTCCCCTGACATTATACTGAGTGCTACAAGGAGACCAAAAACAAAACAACAACAACAAAAAGCTCCTGCACCAAAGATAATGCAAACAAAGCAAAGGTTTGCACGCGCTCTTTCCGCACCGCACAACCGAACCAAGCCGTGAACATCAAGAAACCGAATTTATCCGTTCAGGCAGGTTGGCGGTGTGCGCTGGAAAAGATGAACGCAACGAAAGAGGGGACGCTTTCCATGAGAAAGGGGTTTTCCTAGTAGAAAAGAACCAAGGAATCACCTAACACCTCGGCCCGTTGGACCCAAGAACGCGCCGGGCGCCAAGCGAGATGGAGCACAGACAGATAAAACACAAGGTTACGGCAAGGTGATGTGCAAACTTGAGCCATCTCTCCCCCTCTCTCTTTTTATTCATCAATAGTCACCCCGTTTAGTTTTTGTTTGTTTGTTTTCTCATTCTCTCTGTCTGTTTTGAATGAATGTTACCCCCGGGACAGGCGTCGGCCTGAAAGAGAGGGGTTAGACCGAGCCCCGTCCCAGGATTAGAAAGTGCTGAAACATTATCAAGTCTTTTTACATCTACATACATGTGCATCTCTTTCGGTTGGTTTAGAATCTTTTTTTTTTCTCTTTTTTTTCTACAAAAAAAAAAAAGTGGTCCCCACTAGCGATGAGGTTTCTTTTTCCTGTGGGTCTCACCGTGAACCGTCGAGGGTCAGGGTTTATGATCTCACAGACTATTAGAGGAGAAAACACTCCGCCCCCCCCACACACACACAAACACTCACACACGTTTGAACACCAGGTGTACATAAGCATACATCCTACACGCACGACGACACACGGTGCAGACTCACAACTGAGGAAGGCCGCGAGGACGAAAGGGAAGGAGAGGAAAGAGAGGAAGGAGAGGAAAAACAGGAAAAACGCTTTGCTGTTTCTCCTCACAAACATCCTGACTCAGATGTGACACACACGTCAACAGATATTTAAAAGAAATACACGAGCCTTTAACGAGGATCAGACACTGGAGTCGAACTTTTGCTACATACACTTGGCACAGTAAAGAGGGGGAAAACAAAATCAAAGTATTGCACATTGTGGTACATTTCAATGGGATTTAAGAAAGACTTGGGAAATGATAACTACACTAGACCCTCAAATAAAAATAAAAAACCTTGCTGATTGATTTATGTTATCATCTATAGTAAAATATAAACTCAGTGGCCTTTTTAAGCTGACTGTGAACAGGAGACCGAATATGAAAAGATGATGTAATTGGGAGGGCAGACCTCCTATATCCGCATCAGGCCACACTGAAAGGTAGCGAACGGTTGTCGTTAAGCGTTAAACAGATTGCTTTGCCTCAGAAGGAGGTGCTCGTGAGGCTGGCTGGCTATGATTGGGTACCTGAAACAAAGTTAAAGAGGTCACTACGGGAGTCGTGGCAAAGAGGCAGAGCTTGGCGGAGTCAAAAAAAAACGAAGAGGAAAAAAAGAAGTCTGCTGGTTGGCTTCGTGCCACACCGAGTCGGTTCGCCTTCAGCCTTGACAGTGTAACAGCAGTGTTTGTGACTGACCAGCAGGGACAGAGGAGGTTTCAGGGGTTGTGTTGGGTTACTGCATATATGAGAAACTTCCCTGAAAGATCAGCAACTGGTGTTGCAACTGCAATTTCTGAGGATTCAAATGAGTTTCATGAGGAGGGGAACTGCGGTACCTGGAGCGAGCTGGGTTCAGGTGTGTTAACGTCTGCAAACCTTTTGCAGTATGAGACGAAAATTGTACTTCTTCTCTGGGCAAAAAGAACTGTTTTTGGTTGTCGTGCTGGAGGATTGTTATTAAAATGTTTATTGCAGAGATTTTGAGTGGAATGACTCGCCGAGCGCGCGCTCCACTCGCATACAAGGAGACTGCCTGAATACTTTTTAACTATTGCTTTCTAAAGTAACCAAAGCAACCACAGCGTCGCTTGGCTTTGGCTTATTATTATTATTATTAATAATAATCTACCTGATCAACAGTAAGAGTCTGAATGGTTTGAGTGGCTGATGGTTTTGTTGTTTTGTTCAGATGTCTATTTTTCCTTTTGTTGGTAAGGGGGTTGGAGAAACATGTAGAAAAAAGACATACATTTATAAACCACTGCCACACACACACACACACACACACACACACACACACACACACAGCGGTTCCAAACCATGCGCACACACATATAACTACTGCTATTTCTACCAGATGTTTCAATAGGAACAGGACCAAATGAAAATGCGCTGCTGTGTGGGTGTCGATCTGAGAACCCTGTTCTATTATAAAAAATAAAGCATTTTCAAATCTCATTCGGGGCTCTTCTTACTCGCTCGCCTTCACTATCAGTCTGTCTGCTCATTCGACCACCAATCCACCCATTCCTCATCCATCTGAATACACATCCATCCTGCCATCACCCTGGTAAACTCCCACCACCTGAAACATTGTCGCCTCTATTTTTTCTTTTTCTAAAGGCAAGCAGCAACAGCCATAAAACATAAATACAGGCTGAGCAGGAACAGATATGCTCAACAGACATGCCTGCAGGAAGCCGCTGCCTCCCTAACAACAGCATTGTGCCAGCAACATGTCAAAGCTAATCTCACAAAACCTGAGATATGGTTACATGTTGTATGGCACCTCTATGTTACATGGTATAGATTTAAAAAAAAAAATAACCGGCCAATTGTTTTTTTATTTTTAGTTTTGTTTTGGGGTTTTTTAAGAAGAAGAAGAATCAGCCAAATGATCAAGGATGGCCAATTACACTGAAGGCTCGTGGTTTCATATTAGAGAAAAACCCCAAACTCCGTGAGGACGATCGACCGACTGACCACGCAAGCACATCTGTTGAGGTAACTGCTATCTAAGGGATAAATGAGTTTTGGCTGGCTGAGCACAGGCCGTGTTCAAAAGCGAACCCTAGCCCCCCTTTACACTCTGGGCACCCCGGTTTAATCAGCAGGGGCAGATATTCTCCTTAAGCAACCCGAGAAATGGTCGGCTTTTAATTCAGTTTAGTAGGCAGGCACATGTTTGCCATAACTGTTGATCAGAAACGTTTCCTCTACAGTGTGGCAAGTGCCTGTTTAGGAACAAAAACCCTGATCTCCTCCAGTGTGTCATGTGGCTCTAGGGCTCGTTTTGGGACAGGGCCTTAAAAAAATGAAATAAAATAAAATAAAATAAAACAAAAAATAAAAATCGCGTCTCGACTGAACTCCCTCCTCCTGATGTGCAAATTGCAGGATTCTCTTAATTAAAGACTCCAAGTAGAAACACTGGACATTTAGCGTTGTCTTTATATCATTTTCCTATACACAGTGCACACACACTCTTATACAAACTCCCACCCATACACAAACACAGCTCAGAGCACTTTTTTCTGCACGGCTGCACTGTAGCAGTGCCGCGTGCATTAATCCAACGTCAGTCCACTAGTGTCTTTGCAGTAGGGACAATATGCACCAAAATAAACGCTTGCCTCTGCAGCTGTCTAAATATGGATTGCCAAGTACAGTACGTATTGAGTTTTAGAGACTATTTTGTGTCTGTGTGAGCGCGTGCGTGTGTGTGAGCAAACACACCAGCATCATATACACACATATTACAAATATATGATGACCTTCACAAGTCTGTGGGTGTGAGCTTCTGATTGTTGCTCTCAGTCTAAAACAGATCTTGAGCAGGATATTTCAAAGACTCTTTTTTCCCGTCTTAATCGAACTTTCCAGACACGTTCCGATACTTTCCTGCCGCGCACATGCCGAAAACCGCGATACCTCCCGCTTCATCTCACTTCCCCTACCCTAACCTACTAACTGAAACTCCTCTCGCTCTCACATTTGTCCCTTGCTCTGTGATTTAATGGCACATCTGCTCCCACGTTACTTAACAACCTCTTTACCTTTCACAAAGTGCTTCTGCTACTTTCTGCCTTTGTCTTTAAAAAAAGAAAGAAAAAAATCTAAGAGCATACAGTACTTTGTAAATAAACACACAACATCATCGTTTTTTGTTGTTTTTTTTGTTGGCTGTATGATGAGAGTGACAGGTGTGTTAAGTGCTTTGAAACATCCTGACCCTCTCAGAGCTAACGTGGAGATTCTCTCGCTTCCCCTCACGCGACCTTTCAGGATTTGTAAAGAAAAATTAAAGTGATTCATTAAATAAAACTCAAACAAAACCGCTAGGATCGTATGCGAAGACTCCGTTCGAGTGCAAACACGCTGGGTTCACCAACCCAGTGTGTTTGCATTTGCTTAAGGTTAGGGGCATCACATATTGATACATGAACACTGACCCACCTAGGCGCGATCGATTGATTATTAAAAAGGACCCCTGATTAAGGTTTTTAAAAAATCTTGAAAAAAAATGTAAAACCTATGTGGTGAGATGGGAGATGAGGGGTTAGAGAAGAAAAAAAGTCAAATGAAAAACACTAACATGAAATGAAAGCAAAGACTCCACTGTCTACAAACTGAGCAGAGTAAGTGTTGTTCCCTCACAACTGTGTGCAGCACACGGGCATCGACACGATGACCTCAGGTTCCAGTCAACCACAGGCCCGGATGACACGGTGACGATCAGATCATATTAACTTCTGGTCTGATTTAGCAAGTGAAAATTTTTAATGATTTACCCGCAAATCCTTCATTATTACCAGAGGCGAATCCAGGCAGCCTTACTGCCCGAGTACACAGGTAACATCACTGTCACAGAGTGCGACTGTGAACCACCCATATGGAAAAGAAATAGTAAAAACTTATATGTGATTACTCATGAAAGTGGCCACTTTCTCATTACTTTCATACATTGTTTTAGTAAGGATCCAAAACATACAAGTTTCATTATATAATTTTTCAAGGGATCTTATATCCGTTTTCACTCTTATATGCTTTTCATACAAGTTTCACACAAGACAGATACAAACTTTATAAGATTTATATATATATCTTTTCCATAGGGGCAATCAGGGTGGAAATTTCAGCGTAATGTGTCGCCGGCCAAGCAGAGCCATCGAATGTCGCGCCCGTGTGCCACAGAGCAACCGATAAACATTCAACGCACAGGTCAGAAATCCCTGACCAGAAATCTTCTCATGAAAATCACCAAAACTGCACAGATTGCTCATGTGATAATTAATCAATCTATTAAAAAAAAACATAAAGGTGTTAAACTACATGGACTTAATGTAAGGTGTAGGGTAAGGTTACCGCTACAGTACAGGATGTGAACTAAAAATAAACAAAAAAACAAAACCACGACAAATGAACCTTCACCGTGGACATTTATGGGGTTTTTGTAGAATCTTTTTAGCTGTGTTTATTTTTTATTTCATGGGTTGTTAACAGTCCTGCTAGCCTTCACTTGCCAATATTTGACCTTCCTTCAATGCTGATTTTCACCTCATGAGGGATGAAGGAAGGTTTGGGAAGGGTCAAAGGTGGTTCCTCCTCTGATTTTTCTACTTTTCGACCCTCGGGCGCAGACCATCTGCGCTTCCTGCTTCCCGATGGCTTAGTAGAGCCAGCTTCTGTACTGCCGACAACCTGACCTTTGGAAACTCTTTCCCCAAACACGAGATCCCCGTTTTCCACACCGGAGATCCCTCTACCTCCATTTCCACTCTCCCCACTTCCTCGCTGGCTGATGCCATTCTCCCGCTCTCTGTGCCTGGGACCTCCTCCACTGCAGCTCTGAGGAGCGTCCGACACAGCTCTAGGGGGTTTGAGGTGTCCGTGGCTGGAGGGGACAGAGGCGTGGGCGGCCGGCTCCAGGGGTTGAGTCTTCTTCAGAGATCCGTTCCTCAGGTTCTTGAGCGTGAGTGAAATACAAACATCGCCTACAGAAAGCTTGGTACAAGGCAGCTCCAGAAGCTGGGTGGTCCGGTCCGGGCAGCATGAAGACCAGCCTTGGCCAAAGACGAAGAAGGGGTATTCCAACAAGACCTCCACGCTCACCTAAAGAGAATTGGGGACAAACGAATGAATACCTTATTTACATTATATACTGTTGTTTCACAAAAAAATCCACTTTGATCTTTTGATTTTGTTAAACTAAACAATCTCACGTGGAGCCGAAAGCTGTAATGTTTAAAGCTCCTTCAGGAAATTAGATCGGAATATGGGGAATTTTTTCTTTGTGAATCTCAGGTCCAAAAATCAAGGCATGAACTAAACCATGGTTTTAACATGTTAATTATGAAAGTTCATGACTTTAACATTATTTTCCACTCAGTTTTGGAGCTTCGATAAGAACGCAGTGTCTAAAAAAGGATAACGAGAAAAAAGAAGAAAGAAGAAGAAATACAGGAAATTGAATGTAACCCAGTTCCCAGACTAGCCCAGCAGCACGACAGCAGCCAGTGTCCTGAATTTTATTTGAGAAAAGCTTTAAAGGAAAACCTGCCATGCCTCTGTTTGGCCATTTTCTAAACTGAAATCTGAAATTCTGCGGCCTCCTGTTGACACCATGTCCTATAACACTGACCCTGTTAAGTACACATTATAAAAAAAACATGGAGAAAATCTGCTGCATATTACTTTACTGTTTGTGAACCTTTTTGTCATGACGAATACTGAAAACACTACACTGCTATACTACTAATACTGGTGTCAGCTTGAGACCTGAAACTCTCATCTGAGGTCCACGCCAGGATTCAGTAGCTTGTAGAAACACTTTTAGCAGCAATAACTTGTTCTCTGTACAACTTTCAGAGTCTCTCACATTATTGTGAGAAACTTCCAAAACTTCTACTTTCATAGAGGTGCTCACACTTGCTGATCATCAGTTAATCAAGAGTGTTTGATTAGCAGCACATGGCTGCTATTCAATGCTCTTGGTAAGGCAGTAAGAAGCAGTAAGGGTATCCAGCTGCTCCTGTCTTCTAAGACTTTAAGTTAGAAAGAAATACAAACGTTTTCTGTTAGTGTTCTGCAAAGTCAAAAAGATATTTATGCAATAATTGTGATTTTTCTTTCACTTCTGATTTAAACTGTGGACTTAAAGCCCTGACTGGGTCTGTATTAGTGTTTGAATGTATAAAAAGAATGAATGGATGACAAAAAGAGATCGGCTGCAGGCTCAGGAGAAGGAAAATAAACATCAGAAACATCCGAAAGAAGGCAAAGCCAGGGATAGGATACCGTAAAAGAGCGAGATGATGGAAGTGGAGGAAGCTTCTAAGATGGGGATGAAAAGACAAGTTTAAAAAGAGAGAGTAGGTTGGACATGAAAATGAAAAGAGAGCTATGTCAAGAAGGATACAAGCGAAAGACGTGACAAGTACCAAATCTCAAATCTTACGTCAGGCAACACTTTCCCCTCCTGTATTATATAACTTTTGACTTCTTGGAGTAAGTTCTCTGAGTGTGGACTCAAAGCTATAACCGCCGCTCAGGAAAAAAGTAAGAGGAACCATTGAAGGAGCACAAGAGAGAAAGAGAAGTCTTTGAAAGATGGTCAGCTTTTGTGGGGTACGACATCAAAGAGCAGCTGGGGGCGAGAGAGATGGTTAGAGATGTGCTGTGTGGGTGGACGAGTCGCAGCATGGACAGATGAAAAAGATTAACTGGCTTCAACGCACATCCTCAAAGACAGGGCGAAGGCTGCATGAGTGTACGTGAGCGCAAGTGTTCCTATAAAAACCCGAAAGATAAACTGTGGCATAATATCGGATATTAAGAGATTGCTGCAATTCACATTTAAATTTAAATGTATTTATACAGCTTCAAATCGCAACAAGAGTTGCCTCAAGGCACATATTATACTATAAGGTAAAGACTCTACAATAATATAGAGGAAACCCCAACAATCAATAATCAATGTTAATGAGAGATTCAAGTATGTTTGTATTTAACTGTGGCAGAGTAGAAAAGAAAAGAAGTACATGTCCCAAAAACAAACAAATGTCCCAAAAAAGGACAATTTAACCACTAAAAAAATGTAAAAAAAATAAAAAAAGACCACCAACATGTCATCTCGGGGTCTGCAGGTAACTATTAGCGTCAAATTGCACATGACTGATCGGAAAGAGATAAAAGAAAAAAGAGAACTTTAGTGGAAGGGGAAAAACATCAGAGCCAAACATCTGCCTATTAATGAATGAAGATATGAAGATAACATAAAGTCACCTTTACCAAAGTTCAAGTTAACCCACAGTTGAATATTTCTGCACAGGATAACGATCTAATGCACAGGAGCAAATCTACCAAGCACTGGTGGCAAAAGAAGAAATGAAGGCTTAAGGAAAGGCTTCGTCAAAGCCCAGACATCAATCTGACTGAAATGAGGTGGAAGGCTTTAAAATAGACAGTACATAAAGAAAACCTACAAACGCCTAGCAACTGAAGGATGACCAGAAGAGAGGTCAAAAACATCAGCAAGAAAATGTCAAAGACTGATGGACAAATGTACAAAAGAAGAGTGAAAAAGTTAATCTTGCTAAAAGTAGCATCAGTAAGTCAAGGATGTACTTTTCCTACAGAAGAACTTTACAACAGCTGGTACTTTGGTAGAATAAATTACAGAAAGCTCTATTTCTTTGCTAATTCAAATGTATAAATCAGCACTTTAAATATGCAAAGCATTACATGTAGCAATATATCAACACATTTACATGGCTTTAATTAACTAAGACAACCTGAAGTAGATTCCAGTCCTCAATACCTTGAAAACTTTAAACATTTGTGGAAGACGATGATACACATAGAAGCCTTATTATAGATTATTTTTAAGCTCACAGAACTTAAAAATAAAACCAGAACTGGACTGTTTAGCCAGATACTAGATTAGTCACATACTAGATTTAGGTGTGCTGGTACCTCGGTCCCACCTGGAAAATGCCAAAGGACCGAGTAACTTTTCATTTACATCTTTGTGTGCATGAATGAGATAAATCAAACTTTGACAACCTCATGGAAAAAGAGCTCTGTAAAGATCGTGAAACCACGTGTGAACATTTTGAGAAATTATTAAATCACATTATTACAAACATTAAAACAATGTATGCAAAGGGAAAACAAATATCCCAGCTGTGTGAGAAGGTAAACACAAATAAACTTTAATCAGCACATTAAATTTAAGACCATAGATGGACTGCTACTTACTACCACTACTCGCACTTTTCTGCTGCTAAAGAGCGAACACTCAAAGTGATTTTAAACTGTAAGTCGCATTTACTCATTCGCACACATTCACACAGCAGTGTAATTTTTTATTCCTTCGAGCACTTTTTACCTCTCAAGCACCCACTAGCACATCAGTAAACACATCAGGGTCAGTGTCTTGGGAAAGACTGAAGGAACGGGGAACCTTTCGATAAGCAAATGACCTGCTCTACCTCTATCTTGTTTGTTTAATTCCTTTGCAAAAAAAGGCGAACACATCACAGTTTCATGGTGAGGTTACATGCTAGAGCAGTGAATTTTAAGAATCTTGTTGTTAGTCAGAGGAGACTTCATGCTAAGCTAACCAGCAGCTAAAGTTTGTAAGATAAGACGATGCTATTGCTTAGCAAGAAAGCAAATAAGCTAGTTTCTCAAAATTGTAAAAACACCCCTGTACGTGATAAACTGATTAAGGAAACGTGTGATTGCGATACTGGACTCCTGAATCTGCGATGTCTGTTAGATGTTTCAGATTTTTTCCCTCACCTGTGTACGGTGTTCACCAACGGAGAACTGAACCACAGCAAAGTCGGGCGAGGTGTGGCTCCCCTCAATGCGCTCCACTGTGGACGAGTCTATCTTCAACTCGCTGCTGATCTCAGCACTCTGGATGAAGTCCTCTGTCTTCAGATCCTCCACACGTTTCAGCTCGCCATCAGCCAACTGGATGATGGAACCTTTGATGAAATATGGGGGGAGCGAGGGAGGCAGCACCGTACTAGAGGGGGGATGTGCGGCGGAGGTCGCCACCAGCCCTGGTGGAGCAGGAACAATGGGGAGATGAAGCTGGGCTTGGACCACTGCACCTGGGGCATCCTGGTGAAATGAGCCACTGTGGGTCTCCAGAGTTTCTCCTTTGGGGGCGGTGGCGGCAATGTACGTATGTGGGAGTGTAGTAGGAAAAGGTGCAGCTTGGGTAGATGATGTAACATGGGAGGTTACAGGCTCCAATGTTGTGACTCCACCTCCACTGACAGGGATGATGACCGGTTGGGGGCCTGGAATGAGTAAGTGTTGCTGTAGGCTGGTGTGGTAGCTGCTACCACTGCCTCCTGCAATATAGCCGATAATAGGTTGCTGAGGGTAGATACTGGTGGAAGAGAGCCCCATTGAGAGTGGCTCTGTGGCGTTGTGGGTGGTCTGGATGACGGTCTGGGGTGGCAGTGTGCTGACAGCAGCTTTCAGGCTGTCTACACTTAGTGGGGGTGGAAATGTGAAAGAGGAGGTGGTGCTGGATAAGGATGGAGCACGACTGACTGGCTTGCCCATGATGTTGCCACTTTTCTCCAGGTGTGCAGGGGCTGAAGTTGTCACTTTCTCAGGGCTGGCTCTGGGTGGTACCAGCTGGTGGTCCCCATGGCTGTTGGGCATTAACATGACAGAGGTTCTCAGCCCTGATGGATCATGCGGAGAGTAGTCTGTTGGCAGAACCATCTGTCGAGCCTCATAGGAAGACAAAGAGGATGTGGCATCCCGTGATTTGCTCCCTGACTTGGAGATGTTAGACTCGAGTGGCGCGGCATACCGCCGGCCCCTTTCCAGCTCTCCATTGTGGAGCTCTCTGGGTCTCTGAGAGCCACCTTGCTCTTTTCTGGTGGGTCCATCCGTATACTGCACCACCACCTGAGACATGCTGTGTCCCAAAGTATGGTGAGGGTACATTGAGTGGGGCGAAAGGTGAGTGCCTCCTTGGTGATGGGATGATGGCACAGTCCGTGGGGATGTTGATATTTGAACATGGTGAGGGACAGGGTCTGTAGAAGGAGGAGGCATGGAGGTACGTCCTGTGGATGCTCGCTGCTGGTCCTGCTTGGAGGCCTGTGAAGGAGCAGAGGCCGTCTCTGTGTGTGAGGGTCTCTGTGCAGCCGAGGAAGAGGAGGACAGGGGGGGAGGAGGTGGAGGAGGAAGCAATTGAGAGGGGATGTAACTGTATGGGGCAGTGTAAGGTGAGGCTATAAACTGCATATTGTGAGGCAGATGGGTGTAATGGACAGCTCCTCCAACTGTGGTCTGTGGCAGGTGGGATGTGTACACTCTAGGAAGAGATGAGACCACCCTCAGTGAGGACGCAGAGGTCAAAGAGTCTGATATGGAGGAGGGAGATTTATACTGCGATCCGTCAGAGTGACTGGAGCTACGGTGCGCACCCACACTGCTCTCGTTCCCACCAGCCACACTGGCGAGCCAGGTCATGTTTTCTGAGCGCTGGCTCTCAGTGGCAGGTGGCATGATAGGTGAGCGATTTTCAGATGGTAGCGTGCTAGAGAGGATTTCCCTCTTCTTTGGGGGCAGACATTCATTACTGCGCTCCTGGTTGGACTTCATGCTGATTTCACCTCACGCCCCTCAACTATACTTGCGTTATCCTTCCTCGAGTTTTGGACTACAGCTTTCTTTTTTCCCCTTGTTTTGCTTCCTCGTTCTTTCACTTTCGTTGTCACTTTTGTTCACTTTCTCACTTTTTGATGTCCGGTCCTTTATTTCACATTAATTAGCCACAAAATGAAACTTCCCCAATCTTGTCTCTTTTCCCTCTCTATCCACTTCACCCAAGGCCTTTTCTTGACAAAGAAAATCCAGGCCCTAACAAGCAGGTGAGGAAGGATTAAAGATAGGGATGACGATATGGAGGGGTGGTTAAAAGGGGAGGGGGAAGGGCGGTCCGTTCCGTCTGGGGATCTTTAGCGACTGATGGGTGAGCTCAGCGTGGAGGTGGAGAGCGTCACAACGTCACACCTGCCGCTGTCGCAGAGGACGATGGGGGGCCGAGTGCGTCGCACTTCATGAGGAATCATCTCCTTGTGAAAGAAAGTCTGCCCGCACGCAGCACAATCCTGTGGAAGAGAGAGGAAAAAATAGATGGTTAGAAAAGGTGTGGCTCGTTAACTGATGAATAGGAGAATACTTTATAATTCTTATTCTGTGCTTTTTTTTAGCAAGATGGCAACTATAATGACAGAGCCATTTTCAAAATCCCTTCTAGTGAATGCAGCGCATCTACAGACCTATAAAGACAGACAGGTTAATAATGTGTCTGAGCAAAACAGCTTCTGCAACAACAAATTTAACAATGGAACAACACTTTAGCACCAACAAATCCATAAAAGGACAACGTTTTGAACTACGAAGAATAAGCCAGCAGGACACTTGGGAGGTCAAGCAACAGCTCTAAAAAGGTGACAAAGATGAGAATTAGGAGGCTAACAAATACAAAAAGCCCACTGCAACAAGCGTGACCTGTAGATTGTGTGGATATGGAGGTGTTTTATGTAACAATGTGAATAACAGCAACACAGGTCAGTCATGGGTAACTGCAATTTCAAGAAAAGAGACCCTGCTAATATAAAAATGACCACTCCAAGCAACAATAACCAGGCACTTTCAGTAAATGACTAATAATAAGAGTTTGATTACAAGCCTGTGTGTATACCATAAATGAGAGTGTACCACATGTGCATGTGCCCGTGTGTGCCATCTGTTTGCGAGCATCCCCTACTGTGAAAGATGGGAAGCTCAGTGTGAAACTCATAAATAATGTAGCGGAATTTCAAGCACATATATCCCCAACACACACACACACACACACACACACACACACACACACACACACACACACACACACACACACACACACACACACACACACACACACAC